GCCTTTCGAGTATTAGGATTGGGGACAACAAGTTGATTGGGAGCATTCCTACAGATATTGGAAATATCAGCAGCCTTACATACTTTGAAGCTGATAACAATGATCTCTCGGGTGAGATTGTCTCCGAGTTTGCACAATGCTCTAATCTCACTCTCCTCAATTTGGCCTCAAATGGCTTCACGGGAACCATCCCGACTGAGTTTGGAGATCTCAGCAATCTGCAGGAGTTGATTGTCTCTGGGAATAGTCTGTTTGGAGAGATTCCCACATCAATTCTCAGGGGCAAGAATCTTAACAAGCTTGATTTAAGCAACAACAGATTTAATGGCTCCATACCAGAGAGCATTTGCAACACATCTAAACTGCAATACCTGCTGTTAGGTCAGAATTCGATAAGAGGGGAGATACCTCATGAGATCGGGAATTGCACGAAACTGCTTGAATTACAATTGGGAAGTAACTATCTCGCAGGAAGTATTCCTCCTGAGATTGGCCATATAAAGAACTTGCAGATTGCACTTAATTTAAGCTCAAATCATCTCCATGGACAATTGCCCCAAGAGCTTGGAAGACTTGACAAGTTGGTTTCTTTGGACTTCTCCAATAATCAGCTCAGTGGAAATATTCCGGCGACTCTGAAGGGCATGCTCAGCTTGATAGAGGTTAATTTTTCGAATAATCATTTCACTGGTCCTATACCTTCTTTTGTGCCATTCCAAAAGAGCCCAAATTCGAGCTTTCTTGGAAACAAAGGGCTCTGTGGTGATCCATTAAGTATTTCATGCGGAAGTTTGGATGCTTATGGTCATCACGATTACCATCACAAGGTCTCGTACAGGATCATATTAGCTGTTATTGGTTCTGGTTTGGCGGTTTTTGTATCTGTAACAGTGGTTGTTTTGCTGTTTATGATGAGGGAGAAACAAGAAAAAGAGGCCAAAGATGCGGGAATTTCTGCCGATGAAACTACTAATAAGCCAGTGATATTAGCAGGGAATGTTTTTATTGAAAATCTTAGGCAGGCTATAGAGTTTGAAGCAGTTGCCAAAGCAACCATGAAAGAGTCGAACAAGCTCAGCAGTGGAACGTTTAGCAATGTCTACCGAGCGGACATGCCTTCGGGGATGGTTTTGTCTGTCAAAAAATTGAAATCGATGGATAAGACTATAATCCATCATCAGAACAAGATGATCAGAGAACTCGAAAAACTGAGTAAACTCTCTCATGACAATCTGATGAGACCTATGGGGTTTGTAATCTATGAAGATGCTGTTCTTTTGTTGCACCAATTCTTTCAAAATGGGACATTGGCCCAATTTCTTCACGACGCTAAGAATAAACCGGATTATAACCCAGACTGGTCATCAAGACTTGCCATTGCCATCGGAGTGGCAGAAGGGTTAGCATTCCTTCATCATGTGGCCATTATCCACCTCGATATCTCATCCAGTAATGTATTTCTAGATTCCAATCTTAAGCCTTTGGTTGGTGAAGTTGAAATATCAAAGCTCCTCGACCCATCCAGAGGCACGGCAAGTATTAGTGCTGTTGCCGGTTCATTTGGATATATTCCTCCAGGTACTCCTTTGGAATGCTTATCAATGAATTTCTTCCTTCCATTATAATCTGTCTAATGCTTTGTGTATAACAGAGTACGCGTATACAATGCAAGTTACAGCACCTGGAAATGTTTATAGCTATGGAGTCGTGTTGCTTGAGATCCTTACAACTAGACTACCAGTTGATGAGGAATTTGGTGAAGGCATAGATTTGGTGAAGTGGGTTCATACTGCACCTGCGCGAGGGGAAACCCCCGAGCAGATTCTTGATGCAAGGCTAAGCACCGTCTCGTTTGCTTGGAGAAAAGAAATGCTTGCGGCTCTAAAGGTGGCACTACTTTGCACCGAAAGCACACCAGCCAAACGGCCCATGATGAAAAAGGTTGTTGAAATGCTTAAAGAAATCACGCAAAACTAATGTTGCGGAATTCATCAGTGTTCATCTCTTAAATCCCAACTCTAGTTGCCATTTTCTGTTGACTCCCCGGGTTTGATACCGTTGTCTTCCTATCCTTTCACAGTTGTGTAACAAGAACTTGTCGAGAATGAAAGTTGAAATGATAGAGAAGATGAATTAGAAGGACGACATAAAAGAGTGTCCTATCAGATTAAACACTGTATTTCTGCTATGTGGTAGGCCTTTAAATATAAAATGAAATATTGAGGGGTTGCATCTTAATGACTAAATCTTCCTCATGTACTTGGAATGTTTTTAGAGAATTCCCCACAAAATCGATTCTTCTTTTCGACTGGGATTCGCTTTCTTAAACAAGACTGCAGTTATTGCAGATATGATTTGTTTTCCTTACTTATAATCCATCCCATTTGTCTACAGAGTTCTCAGTTGTTTGTTTTTTTAATTAACAATAAATGTTTTTTCAATGGTGTCTACATCGCGCAGAATTCATTCATTAACAGTTGCTGCAGATGATATAATGAGTCAGTTCCACCAAGGATCTGCATCTGTTGCAAATCACGTGTACTAGTTGTGCTGAAAGGAGATTCTCTAGAAAAAAATATGGAATTGCAACATCTTTGAGTTAGCTGAGAGATTTTTATTTTTCCACCAAAAGGATTTTTCTCCTCTTGATAAATGGAAATGATTCTTCTACATAATTGATTTTAAATAAGTGATATATAATGAAAAGGTGCTTCCGTATAATCTTGGTGACGTTTGGCATAAACATTAGATATTGTTGAATAACATCACAGATGAGATCTTAACTTCTTTTTATTCTTTAATACAAACTTTACCAACAGCCATTGCATTTTTGAATCTCTTTTTTTCTCGTTTATTTTTTCCCCTAAATATTTGTGTCCTTGTTCCATACCTCGACAATAAAGCATGTCTGGCTGAGCTCAAGAAGTTATAAGTAAACGAGTTTTTTAATTGATCCAAGTTTAAAAAAAAAAGGTTACCTGAAATTAGTAACTTTTTTAGTGAAAAAACAACATTCAAACATGCATGAAAATAAAAAGTTACTTAAAAGTAAGAGATCAAGATTCTCATGATCAAATAGTGACATAAATTGTCGCTTGTTCGCGTAAAACCCGCAAGCGTACGAGATCGTTGTACAAGTAATAAGATTTGTGAGTTAAGAGTATCATTTCCACGAGGAATAAGGTCTAATTTGTAGTTCAATAGCTACTATTAAATTCGAAGTGTTGTAATATAAAAAAGAGATGATTTGTATGCAATTTATAATAATCCTAAACTAACAAAACAAATGAAATATTTATTTATTATGTAAATGTTTGTATTGGAATCGTGAATCCCCCTATTACCATTTAATTCAATTCTTAATTTGTAATCTAGTTAATTTGAGGAATTCAAGACAATCGATAATCCACTGTTATTCAATATTCTTTTCCAAGATATATTAAACCTATGTTTAACACGACCCGATCCTATTCCTAGTCCGAGTTCATATGAATAACATGCATTGATTCACATAATTTAATATGACATAGATATTATTCCTAATATCTATTGTCCATGTGTTGATTTTGTTGCATTCTAGACTTATTTTGAGTATTCCTACACTACAATAAGCAACTAACTACTTAATTGGTGATCAAGCAATCAAATAGTTCAATGGAAATGCAAAACCAATCAAGAAAAATCAAGAAATACTAAATTAATTGTCTTGAATTAAAACAAATAAGTAATGGGGTTTATCATTCATCCAATACAATGAAAAACTAACCTAACATTCTTATAATTAAATTACACAAGAATAATTGGAAAAATATCACCTGGAAATAAGAAAGATGGAAGAAGTAGGAAAAATTCACGTTCTTGATGTGAATCTTGAATCCGGATGAAGAATCTTCAATATCCTATGCAATTCGCTTTGATTCCACGTTGTTAGCCATGTTCTTCACCTCCAAAATATGTATAATATAGAGATTTTTAGGTCTAGGGAGGTTCTCCATATGTATTCTGCTTTTCTCTCTTTATAGGAGCCGAAAATTGGTTGAAAATCACGTCCAAATTGGTTTCCAAAAGAGTTCTAATCGAATAAGGAAAGTTGCCTTCGTGCGCGAATTTTTTGTCTCTGCATAACAGTCCGTATTTTAGTTATTACTTTCTCTTCTGATATCCAATTAATGCGATTCAAAGTGAGTTGGAAAAATAACTCAAAGGGCTACAACTTTTATTGAAATAGAGTTTTTCTAATTCGGACGTTTACTATGCCAAAAAGGGGTCTCAATGTTCGGCTAAAATTCTAGAATATATTTTGAGCGATTGGAAATTGGTTTTGATAATACTTTGATCATATTCCATTCCTTTTTAAATTCTAATTTCATCCAATTGTCTCCTATCAATCTTCAAAGTATCTTCTTGAGTATTTGCAATTTGATCCTCGAACTTTAAATTTTACCATTTTTCGCTATTTTTGCATTTTTTCTCCAATTTTTCATCAAACATTGAGTTTTACCTGCAAGATGCAATATAACATAATTTAGTTCGTATTTTGCCAAAAAGACAACAAAATTCTATAGTTTCAAACCCCGAATAAGTGTAGAAAAATACACTTATCATCGCTCATCTGCATCTCTCGCCCCTCGCAAGTCACAATGGACCAGAATAAGATGCAAGTTCTTTATGTGATCTTTAATTTCCACAAAAAAAAACATTTTCAGTACACTTTACAGACAAATACGAGGGGAGAACAAGTACATGTACATTTCCAACAGGATGAAAGGTGAAACACTGATGAAAAATCTTCACTCTTGCTAAAATTCAGTAAGAAAATCTGGAATGTGCCCTGATGCATACATGAATTTTACCCGAGGGGAAAATTCACACATTCAATCCTGATCATGGCACTGATTTTTTCTATACCAAATTTTGTAGGGCTCATCTTCCTAATCTCAGAAGCCGAATCTGCTTGCCGAATGGGAGCATTGGAGAATATACGAATCTCCTCTATCATTTCAACATCCAGCAGCTTTTAGAAAATTATCGTATGGACTTGATGCTGGAAGCATGAAGGGTTGTGGGTGATGCTTGTATTCAGCTGCACATAGCATGGAAACCTCGTTGATTGATGGTTGACGAGGAATTTTGGGTACGTCCAGGGTTGGATTCCTGCCCTGCTAAGTTCAATTGGTGTAAGAAATTAAATAGAATCTTGAAAAAAAAAGAGCAAAATGAGGGAAACTCATTAAACGAGATGAATCTAATGCACAATGTACTCGTGTTCTGTATGTAAATAGTGTGATGTAGCGCCTATTCATATTGTAGGTGATTTTTATTATATGCATATACCCAGATGACATAATTTATCAGAGCATGTGGCAGTCAAGATCTATACGAAAAGGAAAGCACCTTTTGGAACTCCTTATCAGCAAGGACATGCGAAGCTGTCTGTTTCTTGCCTTCATCGGAATTCCTTGAGGAAATGCTTGAGAGACTTCCTAGACTATGTCGATTTATTAGAGACATTTTCCGCTGCTTTCCCATCAAAAGTGACTCGCAGTGATTTGCCATTTCATTATAAGATGCATCAGGTCCAGTGCATACGGAAAGTCTCCCAACTTCTTGTGCAGTCTCCAAGACCTGTGCACGAACAAATTTTTTAGCATTAAGATAAGTTTTACATTAAAAAAAAAAAAACATTATAATCTCGAACTCTATAACTTCTGTGGGATGATATCGAGAAATCATCAGTCGTTTGCTTGAACTGAATAAAGTAAAATTTTAATTCAAGTTGGAAAATTATACGATAAGATCTGATAGTGACTAAATGCTTTCGCATAGTATCTAATTATGACGATAACTTAATCAATTGGATTAGTGAAACTAAGCCAATTTCAACCTAAAAAGCAATGCAGGAAGTGGGGTGAGAAAACCAATACAAAAAAAAAAAAAAAAAAACAAGAATCGTCAAGTAGAGGAAGTGGTAAAGTATCATAGCATGTTTGACTGTCCAAATTATAACTTAAGTCAGTCAAACATACTTATTATCCACATATTCCGCAGGATCCATAGTTTATTACTCACTTATTATCCTCACATTCAATAAAAACACTTCTTATAAGCACTTAGAAGTAATACAAAATAAGCCGCAGGATCCACAGTTTATTACTCACTTATTATCCTCGCATTCAATAAGAACCACTTCTTATAAGCACTTAGAAGTACTACAAAATAAGCACAGATTATCTTAGAGGGAATTGTAGCATATTATATTGGGGAGAGGTTGCAAAATAAGTGAGTGGCTTTTGTGGAGTCGTCGAGAAGAGTTTTTTTATTATAAGGATAAATTGAGTATTCATCTCTTTGTATTAGGTTGCTCTAGCTTCATATGCTAGATAAATGATTCTGAGGGAGCTGGTCTTTTTTGTGTATGAGGTAAAAATTGAGGTGTGACATCTCCATTTAAACTTCCCAATTCAAGAGAAAACCTGCAGCGTCTAGTAGATGTAACTCTCACATTACACCTACTAATGAGCACCTGACGCAATGCGTGAACATTTCTAGTTAAATGTTCAAGGAATTTAATTGGGAAGGAGTAATAAATTTGAGAAGGTATCACACCCAACAGTAGGAGCAGTGCTTCTTCAACTAATATAAAATTCAAGTATATGATTTAAACGAAATACTCCACGAGTTAAGACAGATTTGCCACTCGGGGATCTTTATTCGCTGAAGTAAATAACATCACATAGAACTGCATGGAAGAGTGACTTACAGATTCAAGAAGTTGATCAACACTCAAAAAGTTTGGAATTTCATTGGCCAAATTTGGATTGTGTGCAAAACTGCTTCCAACTGAATCTGGAAAAGAATCGTCTATTCCAATAATAGAAGCAGCCTGAACCATGGTAAGAGAGAAATCATGAAGTCTCAAAAAATAGAATGCAAAGCACTATCTCAAATTAATTTACCTTTTCTACAGATTTATGTTTATTTGAATTCAGCTGATGCACTCTATTCGGAGTATCTGTGAACAACTGTGCTCCCATAGGACAAACATCATCAGGTTTAAATTCCTTGAGCAGCTGATCCTGTATTGTTGATTCTTCAAACTGCACAAAATAACATTCAATGCCTATATTGTTTGAACTGATATATATTAAACAAGGTTCCCTATTGCTTACACAGTCTAAATAAATTTTGACGTCTGATAAGTTATCCAAATTCTTCACTATAACAGAAACTATGGATTCCCGAGTCTGGTCCTCAGTGAGATTCATTTCTGAAAGACATTTCAGAGCAGAATAATCGTCTTCTTCGGATCCATACATAGTTTTTGCACGATCAGATTCTGCATCAACAGTTTGCAACTGGCAGTCTTTGACTAAACACAAAAAGGGATCAACCTGAGAAATGCAAAAGATAAAATAAAAAAGGTATGGAAATGATAAGTAACATCTGACCATATTAAGACAGTTGATAGTTGAATTCAGTGTATATTGAACTTAATTTCACTTCATCCTGCTAAACTGACGAAAATTCTTTAGTTAATTATTCATATTGTCGAGCTAGGCAAAAAGGCCTATTATTGGATCAGCTGGTTTCGATTTATAAAGAAATGATAAATAAATAAAGAATTCACAACACATCCAACAGGATGCATTTTTGCCTAATTTGGAATATAAAAATGATGCACAGATGGATTCATGCCACATCAACATTTCTGTTAGTTCAGCATACCGAGGTGTCTACCTCTGAGATAAAATAAAAGTTCAGAGATTAACTTATAATAAAAAATTTGGTGACTAAAGGGAAACAAAGCTTTAGGTTGGGACAAGCAGTTTTCTATAAGCCAAGCATGAGGAACTTAACCAGTTAAAAAGAAAGAAAAGCTTATAGGATAGGGAACAACCATTTCATTGGAAAGCATAGCCTTTACATGCGGGACAATTGGAATGCTGTATGCCTTTGATGCAAAGATAATCATAGAAGTTGATAGTACATAAAGGGATCTTCGACGTGATGGTGCCAGTGGTCCTGAAAATACAGAAGATTGAACCTTGAGATAAACTAATGAAATCCTTCTATTTTAATCCATTCACATTGATTAAGCCCTTTTTTGGTGGGGATTAAAATTAGATTTTTAATAGATTATGATAAAATTTGATGAAATGTGTAATTGAAAAGTTGTGGGTCCCATGAAATATGAGGTTGAAATTAATTGTTGACTTTGACTTAGATTAAAATCAAGATTTTAATCCCACAAGCATAAAAATGCGTGTTAAAGAAAGATGTAGAACTAACTTAGAAAAAAAGAAAAAGAAAGAACGAAATAGATGGAACTAGCATTTGTCAAATATAATCCATAGAGGAATTGTTGAGATGAAATTAAAGTCGGAGTTATAAAAGTATAATGGTTCATCTACTTTTCCTGCTTTTTTAACAGGGTTTTTTATTGCTCAACAACTATTAAAAAACACAGTTAAATCTAAATTTAGTGTAACTTTAAAAATATGAAGTTCGATCTTTTCTCTCTTCTATGTTCCTTAAATACACGGTCAATTCTTGTCCTGTCAATAAACAACCTTTTAATTTGAAGCATTTGCGGCGATCAACTTGAGGATAAGAAGACTTGACCTCAATATAGGATAGAAAGACGTGTAAAAGTACCTATTTGATTATTGGTCATTTATTAAAATGCTACCATGACAGGTGTCATCAGTTTACCCCAATAAAACAAAGCATGCTTGGATAAGCATAAAAAATTTACTCAGGAGTAAATAACCAATTTTTAAAATAAATAATTTTTAACTGGTCAAAGTTGGAAATAAGTGAGTTCCTAATTTTGATAGAAAGGAAAGAGAAAATCAACATTTTTCCTAAGAATTAAAGATAAAAGTAGTATTAAAAAATTTGGGAACAAAATATTGCTTAAAACTTAAAAGTAGCTTATGGTTTTTTTAGGCTTAGCAACACATTCAATTGTCTTTAGAGTACCCAATATATGTGGCTGAATGAGTTTGCAGGTTTACCTCCTTCTGCAAGAGAAACACTCTGTAAAGAAAATGCCAGCTGAAAACTTCGGATTAGAGCATCACGTCGGGAGTTCTGCATCAGATGGATGACGAAAAATATAATAACAGCCCAAAAAGCATTTGTTGGAAGAAAATTGATACATTGCCCATTAACACAGTTGATCAGATCAGCATAAGAACAAAAGGGTCATGGGACGTGCAAGTTACTTATGTGCCTTAATCCACAAAATACTTTCAATAGAATGGAATCAAAAGGGTCATGGGACGTGCAAGTTAATTATGTGCCTTAATCCACAAAATACTTTCAATAGAATGGAATCTACCGTGGTTTAAATACCCCTACACAAATTGCAGTAGGATGGGTCATTTTTTCCAATTAATAAAAGCGAAAGCATCTCTTTTTCTATTCTTCACTAAACAACTCGTTTAAAATGGGGCTTATTGACCAGAAAACTATGATCAACAAATAACTTATTCATAGGGCGAGAAGCACTCTCACGTGCAGATCAGATTCAAGTTATAATAAATAAGATATAATTCTGAATCTTGTAAAATATTGATATGTCAATGAGTCAGTCTTCACTAGCCCTCCCATGTGCATACTGGTTTCGATTTTTAATAAAATGTCTGACACGTGCACAATTTTGATAAATACGTGGTGGCAAGACTCGAGCACTCGACTACAAATCTACCATACTGAACCGTCCCATCTAAATGCTCAAATTATTATAGAAGGGACACATTTATTTTATATAAATTTTACTTAAACACTTTAATTCAAATAGAAATTTTAAAGACCACTGAAACAATAAATTACCTTAGTTTGAGAGAAGAGCAAAACCAAGCTGTACGTGTGAGCAATAGCTTCATAGTTTTCTGGCATATTTGCAGGAGAGATGGACTGTGCCCAAATAGACGAAAGCAGGAGGGTTATATGGTGGCTGCTCAACCTAAGAGGAATGGCATCCTAAAATTAAAAGAAAGGAATCATACAATTTAGTAATACTACCGTCAACAAATTTAGCAGACAACTCCGGTAGAGGACAGCTCCACTACACAAATTAAAATACAAACATCTGTATTTCTTCCAAAACTGCATTAAAGAAACATACATTCCAGAGCGGGTTTTTGATGAACCGGAGATTGAAAGAAGATTTTATCTAATGGATGAAAGCAGGATAAAGAACTTTGCCTATTTTTTTTATGGCCAGTCCAAGTCTGAGTAAAGGAAGAGGGTTCCGGTATGTTGATAGCCAGTTTAAAACTTTGTCAAACTTCAAATAACGAATCCTAATACACATTTCATTGGGGAGTCCCTTAATATGATATGATAGATCTAGTTGCTTTTGATGTCCTAGTAGATGTACAAAAGAACAGAGCAAATGGCGAAGAAGGATTCATGTAGCTGATCCAAATTATTGGGAATAAGGCTTAGAATGTATTTTTTGCTGTTGGTAGATGACATCAGGATATGGATAGAAAAAAGACCAGTATGAAAGCAACAAAGCACATTTATGTAAAAGCCTAAAACTAGGGACTCCGATAGCGGTGAAGAGAAGCCAGAAACTTACCATGTCTTTACTTGACTTGGTTACAGAATCTACAGCTGGTGCTGGTGAACTTCCGAAGCTATTTACTTGACTATAAGTTGACTTAATTGTGTTCAACATTCCTCTGTTATTGTTTAGCTGTTCCTCCTCACCTACAGATTTTTTGTTGTTTAATTCGTTTAGATTCTCCCTTGAAGAAGTCCTTTGGTTCCTCAGCTTTTCAAAAAGGGCAGCCGATGAAGAAAACACAGAACCAGTTCTTGAGAGTGTTCTTGGAAACTCTATATTCTGCTTCGACTCAGGTGCAGCTGAGCTTGGGTGAGGGCAAACAGAAGATGGCACAAGGACAACAGAGAAGATACGGTGAGCTCCAACTCGTGTTTCATGATCTGGGTGGACCATAGCTGGAAGTAATTGATGAAATAAAGCCTCCGGAAAAGCCTAAGGAACAAAAATTTGGCCACAAAATTAAATATGGTAGACACACAGATAAATACACACATACGCATAGAGTGTGTTATAGCTGATGAAATTATGTAACTTGTAAAAGACCTTGCCTTGTTTTTATAGGATAAATTTGGAACAGAAGCTACAATTTGTGCAGTACGATAAACAGCAAAAACAGTAGATCTGGCTATAACTGTAATGCTTGAGATGTTCTCTAACATCACAGCCATTACATCAAGGATTGGGCCAGCATCTCCAACCTGGTAACCAATACAAAGTGTTACTGACTTTGAAAATCCAGCTGCTTTGCAAAGTCCATTCAAAAATTGCTAAAAAGAGGAAAATAATTTTTTTCCCCCTCAACTAGAGTTGGACCCAATAAACTTGTAGTATCCAGGTATAACGTTTACGCAGTAGACTTGTAACAGCTTCTAAGCTCTGGCATGCTGATAATCTTCGAACATACTAGATAACCCACCTTATATGATAACTCCGTGAGACAGTCATACAATGCTTCATGGAACTTTCTGTTCCATTTGATTGATTCAGCACCAAGATTTGCATCATCAAGTGAATATTGTATACTTTTCCGCAGATGCCTCATAACATCACTCATGGTAGTCACAATGGCTACTGATGAATGAACCTTTGCAAGTTGAACAAGGAAAGTAGCACCCGAAACAATATCAAGCTGCATTTCAGGTTGCTTCACTACATTTTTATGATCGAGATGCTTGATCAGTATTGACAACAAAGAGTGTGTATTGTGCCCTGCAAATGAAGGAAACATGCCACTCAAAATAAGGCAAAGGAGTAGCTTTAGTGGAACACACAAATTAACCTGAGGAATAGAAAGAGAAAGTTACACGAATACCTAAATCATCCATTAAAAGCTGCATGTCTTTCAGGACGGCAAGAGCAATGCCATGATCAGCTGGCCATTGATTTGTATTATCAAAATAGCGGAACAAAGATTCCAAAACGCGGCGCATTGTTGTAGCCTCCTTCCCTAGCTTGGCCATGTTGTGAAGGCATACTCTAGACCAAAAGTATGGATTCCTGGAATCTTCCCTGTTGACGGTAAAACGAAATATGCCTCAAGGATAGCATAAGATGCTTAAGAAAATTAATAACATGCAGAGAAATTACGTTGTCATATTATTTTTTCCTTTCTCATTTACAATCATCCTCCAAGAAGGAACCTTTGTTGCAACTTCAGGTGAAGGGCAGTCATGGCCCTCAAATTTACAAACTTCTTGGACCCAATGACTTTCAGTTGGATCATTGGACTCTTCACTTATTCCTCCATAATTTTCGAGGACTCCTGAAACAATCTGATCCATGAAAGTATGAGTTAATGAATAGAATAGGATATACACATCCATGAGAAAAAGTAGGAGATTAAAAATTATATAAAACTAAACTAAGAATTCATTGTTAAAATGTTTCAATTCATATATGCCATATTACCCTTGGACTTGATAAAGTAGAGGGATAAGTTTTTTACGACAAACTAAATAACAGTAGACGATTTTTAATTGAATAATGCTATCTAACACCAGTGGTGCTAGAATATCAGTTTATGTGGAATTATGTAATAAATTTAATTAAAGGTAAAATTATGTGATTCATTTAATTGAACTTGTAATTTAATGCCACTTAAACTAGTGCTAAACATCAGTGATGCTAAATAATATTTACTCTTTTTAATTTCATTGAAAACCTTAAATAGATGAAAAAATAAAAGCTTCAACCTTAAAAATAATTGTCTATTCACTAGATGTTTACATGTCTTGCTCAATATGGAAAACATTCAATAAAAATAATATATTCCTAGTCCATACACATTTACATGGGATTATTTATTAAAAATGTTGAACAATTTATTTATATTCAGTGTTTAACAAGTCTCCTCACGTACAGATTGGACTCATTCTTTATAAACACGCACTGTTTTTATAAACGCAATGTTGAACCACCTCATCTAAGGGATTGAGCTGTTAGTTAGAATACACGTTTATTTATTTAATATATTTACTTTTTACAAAATAAAATATGGGGATGGAAAACTTTCAATAACATTGGTCCCACAAAAAATCAATACACACTTCCTTCTGAATTTATGGGACTACAAACTTGAAGTTTGGGTAATTAGCATATAACGTACATACTTTTCACTATTACTGTGGAAAACGTCGTTATCTTCTATTTTTTGACATTTTCATCCTTAATTACAATTTTGATTCCGCAAGAGGTCATTTTCATCCAATTTCTCTATTAATTGGAGGGTATTCTCGCCACTTTTCCTATTTCTTTCTCGTTTGAACCCATTTTCTCCTCTATTTCTTTCTCTGAAATCAAACATTTAGTTTCTTCACTAGGAATTTATTTACACACAAATCACTAGTTTTTGGTGTATTTGGATTCAAAATGATGTCCTTATTCTTTCCCCACTCTATGTAGGTAGTGATCAAATTTTCAACGCTGTCCAAGCAGTCCACCATTTCTTGTTGGCCAACAAGTTTAAAATGAGTTCTACTCATTTCTGGCTATTGAAATATCCAAGATTTCTAGTCATGTCTGTCAAAACTCTTGATTTTTGGAATGGTTTAGTAGAATATTAAAGACAACACGCCAAGGAATATAAATTCCAAGTGAAGAAACTAAATGTTAGTTTTCAGAGAATGAAATAGAGGAGAAAATGAGTTCTAATGGAGAAGAAAGATGAAAAATGACAAGAATACCCTTCACTTAACAGAGAAATTGGATGAAAAGGTCCTTATTCACAATCAAATGTGTAATTAAGAGTGAAAATGCCAAAAAATGGAAGGTATGAACGTTTTCCACAATAATAGTGAAAGGTAGGGGTGTTATGCGTTAATTACCCCTTGAAGTTTTAATATAAAATACCATTTTCCTTTAAACTACTGCTAAGCATAGTTATTGATACTAGTTAATATGCTCAAAATAACTATTTTTTGTTTTAATTATCAGAATAATATACTAATTCAACTTTTAAATCCTCTTGCACATTAATGGTCAAGAATATTATATAGTCATTCATGATGGTTATGCATGTTTGAAAAAAAAAAAAAAAGATTCACGTATGTTAAAATATTTTCTTACATCATCGAACTCGATTGAAATATTGGAATATTCGCCCATGAACCAAACCTGCATCAACAATAAACAAGAATAGAATGAATAGACTAAATGTCACTCTCTTGGCCGATTGCTTTGAAGAAGATTCTTAACCTCCTAAAAATCTTAGTGGTTAGTAAATTTAGAATTCAGGCTTTGAGAAGAAAGGAGACAGAAGATTTATCGCTAGTGTATGAAATGAAATTGCAATAATCTGTGGAAGTAGCTATGATAAAAGTGAATAGACCCAAATGTGAACAGGATACCATAGCAGATAGAGCTTGCAGCCCAGCTGCACGAAGATGTTTTGCTCTCTCATCGTCTCCCTCTTCTTGAGCCATTTGACAGAGATTTGGAATAAACCCTTCAAGGTTAGACATATAAGTTCCGTCCTTCTGTGAAATATGACAAAAGTTGAATAAATCTGATGTTTCCACAAGAATAGATAAATCATAAGAGCAAATAATGCACCCTAACCTAAAGTATTTAACTGGACAAAACCAACCTGATTGTTTATGAAGTCAAAGAGAAAGTGGCTTCCAATAATTAGCATTTCATCCTGGTCTGTCTGATCCAGCAGGGTTTGCATAATGCTTAGTAGACTATTTGCAAACATAGATCTAACATAAATAGGCATAGAGTGAGTATAGGGTATGCGGTAATTCCCAACTATGGCAAACACAATCAAAAAATTGCTTGTAATTGGTCTGCAGGGCACTCAATGGACAAGGTCAGTATCAGGAGAAAAAAAATGGTATTAATAAGTACTTTTATTGCAGAATTTCAATGTCCAACAATAACAACAGTAGTTGGATTAAAATTAAAAAGATATTTTCAGCATCCATTTATAAGCCAACATAATTGTGCCTCTTGATGTTTTACTAAGCATTTCTTCTGCTTTTCTGATCATGCTGTTTGACACCCAATTAGACTCTACCTTGTTATGCTATGAGAATTCCACGATTAGAAACACAAAATCTGGCTGTTTCCTGGTATTTATTAATTTAGTGATATACTTCCTCCTCCATTATTACAAATCTAAAACATTATAGGGACAAATTAACCTTTCAACAAGGAAAAAATAATACTCTTAAGACTTTCCATGAAAAATATCTTCTGAATACAACCCAAAAGCATAAAAATAAAAGTAACAATGGACATACATTTGCTCCTTGCAAGAAACTAACAATTTTCTGTAAATATAGATAACAATTTTTGCTGATCCGACATTTTCACTTCGTAACTCCTTGTAACACCTTTGCTCAAGGGAGATAGTAATCTGTCATCAGACAAGAAATATCACAAATGAAAAACTTGCTTTTGCCCAGAGAACCACAACATAACTCTCATTTGACCATCTGAAAGAAGAAATATAATGCATGTTTTCACTGTTAATTAATTTCAAGGGATTTCTTGCTTCGTGGATGCTCATATTCGGAAGATATTGAAATGAAAAGGCCGCCTGTCAAAGAGTTATGCATGCTTCCTACAAATTTAACCTACATGACAGAAAAGACATGCAAAGAATCAGACAATGCAAATTCCATTTAGCTAAGAAAAAGAATATAGGAACACAAACAAGGCTATTTTTCCGGAAATTATGGTGTAAATCTTTGTGGTGAGCTGTATAGAATCAAAGACTGTACAATCTTACCCAAGATTTTGGTTTGTGGAACCATTTCTTGTCCAGTATATTTCAAATCCTTCTCTCTTTCATTTATGGGTGGGATCTAGAATATCAAGAAGTTTCTCAAACTCCTTTAACATCAAGTTCTTTGGTAGCCGGTAGGTACTAAACTACAGCTCATATTACTTTCAATACAGAAATCTATCTGTACAAAATGCGAGTGACTATATAGAAATCTCCGACCATTTATCATAAATTAATCGAATTGAATCATTAATAGGCAATTGTCATAAAGATACTGATAGAAAATGACGTCTAAAGAAAATAATCCCCCTAGTTAGTACTTGGCACCTGTCTTAAATTTGGAGGTTTGAGAAAATATAGTGAAACCTATCTCATCTAACCCATCCATATTCGAAGTCTACAAAGAGTTATATCATGATAAAGAATGATGAATGCAGCTGCTAATACGTAGAGGCTGCTGTATGAATTCACCATATTGCATTACCAGAACAAGCAAATTATTTCACTCGGCTGCATAAAATAAATAGTACCTTTGGAATGCGCAAAGGATTTTTTGTAGCATATTCACATAGTTTCCCAATCATCCGATCATTTGGTTCTCCGTCCTATAAATTAAAAAGAAATATATGTGAAAACTAACAAATGTGATATAACATCATGACATCGGAAATTCATTGCTCATTCACAGAATACTTCTTGATGAAGCATTCATATGACGCATTCATATGACGCATTTCCACACAATGTACTTCCTTAAACCTAATGTTGAGCAGTTACTCGAAAACTTTTGAGATATTAAATTCTTTAATGAGGGTACAACTCGATTTTTTTCCCCCTTTTTCCCAAAGCCATTAGGAGAGAGTGGAAAATATAGGCTATATGAAAAAGGTAATCTTCTGCCAAATTATGTAGAGATAAAGAAGCAACCACAATTTCTTTGCTAGACAACTAGTATGTAATTCTAAACTTGTTAGCGACAAAAGTTTATAAGTAAATATAAATAATATAGTAAGACCTCTCTATGGTGATACTCTCAATATAGGAATAACCTCCATGTAGTCATAAAAAAATTTGATCCCAACTTGGGCAAGTTGTAAATAAAGTAAACTCCACATTGTAATAAGTTATGATTTTATTAGGTTCCATCTTAAGGAACTTGCCTCCACATAGTAATTATTGGTATATTGCAAAAAATATATCCTATGTTACATTAAAGGCTTAAGATGAAATAAAATATTTATCTAAAGTTGTTTGAGTAAAAAAAAAAAAATGTATGCTATATAGATACATGTACTAATTTTCCGAAATTATGTCTATTTCTTTTTATCAATGTCTATACCTTGGATTTGACATGCTCTTGATTATTAATATAGTTCATATTTTACCTCTATAACATTTACACTAGGGATAACTAAGTCAAAACTATAATGATGAAGTACATAATCATGATTAGTAATTTCCTATTACAATTATGATTTATCTTTTCTAGTTTCCTTTTTTAGTTCTAATATGTTTTATCTTTTTATTCTTATTTCTTGTTTAGAATATGATTTTTAATTAGATTATGATTTTATAAGTTTCTTTATTTTAGTTTTTATTATTAGTAGAAGTAGAAAGTAATTTTGCCTATAAAAATAGAGGTATTGTACATTTTTTTATAACATCAATTATTATTATTCAATCAATACAATGCAAGTTATTCCAATATAATTCTTTCATTACAATTTTATTACAAGAATTCATAATGCTTTCGCACAAAATTTGGTATCAGAGTAAGGAAATTGCTTTCAATATGGTGGCTAACAATGGTTCTGGTGGCAGTCGAACCACCGCCGCCAACGAACGGAGGCTCAAAAAATCGAACAACGAATTGATGGGATCGATGAAACCCTTCACAACATTGTGCAGATGCTGACTGCGCTGAGTGTTGAAAGGAATCTCAAGCCCATCGAGAAGCAAGTTAACAAGAATTTGCAGACTTTAATTGCTATGAATGTTGGTTGCTTCAACTAGATAAAAACACGACAACATGTGGTGAAAGAGTTTCCTTGAGTCCTAGCTAAGTTTGAATACACACAAGTTAGAAAGGATTCTTCGTAGAAGATATAAAAGAGTCAAATTTGAAGTTCAAGAAGATTTTTAGACCACGATACACCATCAACAATAAAGTATGCAAGGTGATAATAAAGCATGAGAGTAGTGAGAACTTGGTGTTCAATACATTGGTAAAAGATTTAAATTTGAAGACTGAAAAAATAGTCATCATGCTATCAAGCTTCACAAGAGCAAGAAAGTTAAAATATGAAGGTAGCAAAATTTCAATTTCTATTGGAAAATACTATAAAGATGAGATTATATGTAACGTGGTAGAGATGCACAATTATCATGTACTTTGGGGGCAACTGTTGTACTATGATGTAGATGCCACTTATATATGTCGAGATAATATGTATGTTTTTAGGTGTTACAATAAAAAGATATGTTTTTAGGTGTTACAATAAAAAGATTGTTTTGGTGTCATGTGACGAGAAATTGGTGAGTACTAGTGTATATAAAGAGAAAAAGATTCATAAGGTAGATGATGAGGTTAAAAAATATGTAATTCAAAATAATCAAGATGTTACCATCCATGATACTAAAATAGAAAAAGAAAAGCACGTGCAAGTTGAAAATTCGAGAACTGCTGATTTCTTGTATATTGAAACTGCAATCGCAAACTCCAAGATCGAGCTACAGTCTGATGATGAGCAAGTTGAAGTTAGGAAGTGTCCAACAAAAGAGGAGGGAATTAAACTTGTCAATCATGAAGGAATCAAAGACAGTATAAAGGACGTCGGTCAACAATCTAATTTTGGTGAATCCAACCAAGCAGCATCCTTAGTTGGAGTGATAAGTAATTTACTTGCAACTGATGTTGGAGCAGAAAAATTTGAGATGAAATCAGATCAATCAAACACTATTCCAGCTGCTGCTAAGGAGGTGGAATCTGCTAGCCGGCCTGCAGACAATAGTGGATCTATAATGACAACAAGCGCAGGGCATACTTTAGGAGGAGCTTGGGCTAAGCTTGTTCTGAATCCACTTCGAATTGTATTAGAGACCAAAAACATTAGAGACGTGGAGATTTCTGTTCATTAGATACGATCACCTTGAGGGTGATTCTCGTCTAGATGGTGTTAAAAATGTGCAACTATTCACTAATATTCTCATCAAGGTCTACAGTTGTGTAGATAATTTATCACTTGATAGATCTACTCTTCAAGTATTGAAATTGCTTCTTACCGATGTAGCGTCGACTAAGTTCAGGGTTCATGGTGAACCATTGCTTGGAGTCATCAGGGTATGTTATAATATTGCTCTTAATAGCAAGATTGAATCTTCTATGATTAAGGATGAAAACTCTAGATTTCATCTTAATATTACTGTTGAATTGCTCAAGTGTGATCCAAAAAGCCTCGAAGATGCACTCATTAAGTGTATGTTGGTGACACCCGAGAAGGTTATTACTTGGACTCTTGATCCAGAGGCTACTTTGAGTAGCAGTGATACGTTGGCTAAAACTATATATTCTCGCTTGTTTGACTAGGTTGTGGAAAAAATAAGTTTCTCTATTGGACAGGATCCTAACTTAAAGACAATAATATGAATTCTTAATATCTACGGGTTTGAAAGTTTTAAGCACAATAGTTTTGAGCTATTCTGTATCAATTTCACCAATAAAAATTTATAACAATATTTTAACCAGCATGTTTTTAAAATGGAACCAGAAGAGTATGAAAAAAAAAGATAAACAGAAGCTACATAAAATTTGTTGATAATCAAGATGTGCTCGATCCCACTGAGAAGAAACCTGGTGGAATAATTGCATTTCTCGATGAAGCTTGTATGTTTCCAAAATCTACTCATGAGACATTTGCTCATAAATTATATCAGACCTTTGCAAAAAACAAAACGATTTATCAAGCCCAAGCATCACGCACCAATTTTACAATATCCCACTATGCTGGGGAGGTAACTTAGCATGCAGATCTATTCCTGGATAAGAACAAAGATTATGGGGGTGGCTAAACATCAAGAAATTGAAATTTCTTCAATATTAGTATTGACATAAATTTTTGAGTATTTTCCTCCCGATTGATTAATGTTTTATTCAAGAAAACTTGAGGACAAGTTTTAATCACGTGGAGGGGATTGATGTGGTACATAATCATGATTAGTAATTTCCTACTATAATTGTGATTTATCTTTTCTAGTTTCCTTTTTTAGTTCTGATATGTTTTATCTTTTTATTTTTATTTCTTGTTTAGAATATGATTTCCTTTCTTCATTAATTGAAATAAGATTTCTAATTAAATTAGGATTTTATTAGTTTCCTTATTTTAGTTTCCTATTATTAGTAGAAGTAGGAAATAATTTTGCCAATAAATATAGAGGCGTTGTACACTTTTTTGATAACATCAATTATTATTCAATCAATACAAAGCAAGTTATTCCAATATATTTCTTTCATTACTTCTTATTTCAAGAATTCATAATGCTTCCGCACCATATAAGTTTTGTAACTACACCTCTACTAAGTTATTACTTCCTGACAGTAATGAAATTAGTCTGGTCCCAACAATATGACTATAGAGAGGTTTTACTGTGGCAACTTTTCCAACGAAATGGCCAAAAGAAAGATATCACTTAAGCCGGTTAAAATTTATATATATATAAAATTTGAAGTCTATAAAAAATCATAATGCAGATATTAATCATCTTGAATACCATTATATATGCACTAAACCTCGATGCCAATAAATTTAGAGGGGTAAAATCGTTAGCAAAGGAAACAATTCTAACCACGAAACTGAATTTCCATAAAACTAAACATGTGATTCAAGAACTAACCTGGGACCGAGGAAATATGTCGGCGATCAACTTCTTGTACCTTTTAACAGGCTGTCTCGACCTTGCTCGCATTGCGGGGCAAAAGAAACAAAGGACGCCGCATGCTGGCAATACTTGTCTTGAGATCACACCCGAAACAGCACTCATAATTCAAAACCAACCAATGCAAAGCTATTAGTTTTTCCCTTTTTTTTCCCCGAATTCTCCTCCAAATTGTATGCTTTTTCCCCCTTCTTAATCTCGAAAACTCGAGATTATTGGAAATTATTGAATTAAATAGAAGGGAAAGAAAAAGCCCTGGAGATCAAGGGGGCAATTCCCAATTTCTGGTACCAAGCCTAGGAAAACCCAAAATCAAAGTCACATTACATCAAAATTTCATTTAAAACATTTCACGATATAACAGAATTTGAAAATTCAAGAACATGGGTAGCTCATAAATCACACAAAAATTCAAAATTCTTTTTGGGATTCAAGAATCTTGATTAATTGGGATTCCTATAAGAATAAATAAATTTATACATACCTTTATATATATTTATAATTATGCATGTGCCTCAAGATAATTAATATTTTTCAGTTTTTTTTCCCCTGTTGATGATCAAATGGAGGAGTAAATGTAATGTACCTTCACATCAATGCCTGTAAAGAGCAGACTCGAAGGCTGGTGACCCCCTACGGAAAATTTAACAATCTTTTTCTCTCTCTCACCGCCCTCTCCTTATTTTCTCTTTATAAGATGGACAAATTGTATATACAAAATAGTGTTTTAAGTCTATATATATATATTGTATTTATATTTAAATTTTGGAGCGACTGATATTTATAATGATCGAACATATCAACATTTGACCTCCACAACTACTACGTTAACCGACGAAGCGTGGAATGAGATACTGTCTGAATAATTGGAATTCAAGGTTCTGCCATTTGTAATTACAAAGAAAGAGAGGGAGAAAACTAGCCGTTGATTATGTTGTGTCCATTGTAGATGACACAACTCAGAATTAGTGAATTCTAATATTGAATTTGACTTTTAGGGTGGCGCAGCCAATTGGAACTGTTGAAGATTTTGATTGATTTTTTTTTTTTTAATAATGATTTATGGATTTCGTGAATTTTTATAGATTTTTATGAAATTAGTGGAAGTCGAATTTCATTTTAAAATTTTGATAGACTTTTGTAGAATTCAAAAGACTTTTGAAAATTTTAATTTGAAATATAATTTACGTCGATCTAGTACAATAGTGTAAAATTATCACATACGAGGTGGTGGTTACCACAACTCCCCTTCTCCTTCCTATTCCCCTCCCCATATAATAAAAAATATTTTAAAAAGAATAAAAATTTAAGAACTTAATTAAATAAATAATAATAATTATACATATATAAAATATAATATACCTTTAAAGAAGAAATAAAAAATTAATATATTTAAATTTAATTATAAATTAGTCTAAATAAAATTTAATAATTTAATAAAAAAATAGATATTTTTCACAAAAAAATGAAAGAAAAAAAAGAAAAAAGTTAATTTTTTTCATAGAAAATAGAAGTAAACAATAAGAGAGCGAAACAAAATAGAAACTAATATAATCAATAGAAAAAAATAAAATTTAATCATAACTCTAATGTTCATATAAAGGAAAATGAAGGAAAAATATTGAGAAAAAAAATACATATTAATTTTTTTCTGTGAAAGTCTTCCAAAATTTTGTGATTAATAAGAGACCAATTTTGAGATATTATTTTAGTACTCTCTATTTAAAAATTAGTATCATGAAAACTTTTTTAAAAATCTTTAAAAGTAATTAAAATTTGAATATATCAACACTTATAAAGACTTCTAAAAAATTTTAATTGAATATGGTTACCAAACGGTGCCTAATATTGAATTTGACTTTTAGGGTGGCGCAGCCAATTGGAACTTTTGAAGATTTTGATTGATTTTTTTTTTTAATGATGATTTATGGATTTCGTGAATTTTTATAGATTTTTATGAAATTAATGGAAGTCGAATTTCATTTTAAAATTTTCATAGACTTTTGTAGAATTCAAAAGACTTTTGAAAATTTTAATTTGAAATATAATTTACGTCGATCTAGTACAATTGTGTAAAATTATCACATACGAGGTGGTGGTTACCACAACTCCCCTTCTCCTTCCTATTCCCCTCCCCATATAATAAAAAATATTTTAAAAAGAATAAAAATTTAAGACCTTAATTAAATAAATAATAATAATTATACATATATAAAATATAATATACCTTTAAAGAAGAAATAAAAAATTAATATATTTAAATTTAATTATAAATTAGTCTAAATAAAATTTTATAATTTAATAAAAAAATAGATATTTTTTACAAAAAAATGAATGAAAAAAAGAAAAAAAATTAATTTTTTTCATAGAAAATAGAAGTAAACAATAAGAGAGCGAAAAAAATAGAAACTAATATAATAAATAGAAAAAATAAAATTTAATCATAACTCTAATGTTCATATAAAGGAAAATGAAGGAAAAATATTGAAAAAAAAAATACATATTAATTTTTTCCTGTGAAAGTCTTCCAAAATTTTGTGATTAATAAGAGACCAATTTTGAGATATTATTTTAGTACTTTCTATTTAAAAATTAGTATCATGAAAACTTTTTTAAAAATCTTTAAAAGTAATTAAAATTTGAATATATCAACACTTATAAAGACTTCTAAAAGTCTTCATCGAATACTCCTGAATTTTTTAAATCCAAAAAGTCATTAAAAGTCTCAATTGAATAAACATTCTTAATTTTTTTTTTCTTGATATTTATGTTTATTCAAGCCTTTAAGGTGTTTATTTTATTTTAGAAAGTAATTTTGAAAATTTGGCAATGGAATTAAGCCCGATCCTATTATTTTCAAAATATATTTTTCTCTCTTCTTTACAACTACACATTTTTCAATAAAATATATTACACGTAAACCTAAAACTTCTCTTTATTTTTCAACCATACGTTCTTCATCAATTTATTATTTCATAATGCATTTTTAAGAAAAGATGGGGCTCAAATTTCTTTTGAAATTATTGGATAGAATAATAATCTTCTTATGAGAGTAGATTTACTTGAATTTGGATAGATTAATCTAGCTCGGTTGTCTACATGTTAATGGCACATAACAATTAACACAAACATTTACGTCAACACCTTGAAAAAAGTTAATTTGAATAAGGCTTGATACAAAATTATTATTTGGTAATGCTTTAAAATACTTACAGGGAATTGTTCACAGAACAATTAGGGTCTGTTTGATTCGTGTAGTTTTTCATGGAAGTAGGAAAATATTTTCCTACTTCCACTTTTTTGACTGTTTGATATGCGAAATTTTCGACCGAAAATGTTTTCCTCCCCTTTTCTAGGTACAACCCTTTGATGCACAAATGGTGGAAAATGTTTTTTCAC